CTTTCGTAGTTTATAGTTCTTAATAAGCCCTTTTACATTACAAACTTATTTTACAGTTTTCTTTAATTTAAACTTTATGCTAATTAGCAAAATTTTGTAAACAAAGACCCGCCTATGTAATAATGAAATCACCCTTAATCATCCCTGTCAGATATTCTTGTGAATATGTTGAAAAAGGAGAAGCAACGTACTGCTGGTGGTATAACTAATGGACCATTGCCACAACGTAGTTCTAGTCAGCCTATCAATGAACCTGAAAGAGACGTGTATGATCAGCATCAATTAAAGAAAAGTCATTCAGTGGACCGATCTTCAACAAAGGTGCGCATTTTGTGGAATGGGTCCTCTTCACAATATTAGGCTACCCTAGGGGGGAGGGGAGTAACCGCTATATTTTACCCTATATAAAATATATAGGGGGAGTTGAGTTCGGTATGGCGTCTCTAGGAAATTTGGAATGGAGCTATATTTAGTGGACTTGGAGTTAATTCCATGAGAGTTGTCATTGTTTTAATTAAGTACAGCAGCTCTATAGACCTCTGAACCTTTTACGTCACTACTTGATTTTCAATGCATTGTGGGATCAATTTGAAGAGAAAACAAAAGAAATCCGCCATGTTCTGTCCCAAACACACCCTACAATGCATTGCGTATACGGTACATGACGTAAAAGCTGCCGAGGTCTATTGTTAGGTTAGAGTTTGTTTTATTGTTAGAAGTCTTATCTATTGTTTGTCCATTGTTTTCTCAACCTATCATGAGACCCGTTCCAATTGGTGCTGACTGGCCCTTTCAATTACTGTATTTCAGGATGAAGAGGAGACAAGCAGTCGTGAAGAGGAGCCGCCCGCCTACAAACGAAAACTAGGTAGCTGGTTTCTACTAATGCCAAGATCTACGCCTCTGACTATCAATATCAACTCGTAGTCGACCTCGTGTCTAACTGTTAAATATCTTGTTGTAGAGGAAATGTCTGTTGGGCGCAAAGAAGCCTTTGAAGTATTCAAGCGAGATTATCCTCACAACGATGCTATCGACGAACACAAGCGTAACCTGAAACAGAGGTTGGTACCCACAATCCACCATGACTAAAATGTAGCATTCTCTTTGTATTTTAAAACTATGTATAATTTATATGTATACATACACCTATGTCGGGGAGAACTGTGGCCGGCGATTGTCGAAGGGAGATTGCATGACCGAAAAGGACTATGGTTAAGCTGTTTGGCATGCAAAACTTCACCTTCTTGCGTGAGACTAAACAGAGCCAATGTTTAACACAGAGCATCATAGAGTATAAATMAGTTATCATTTACCATCARTAAGCAAATCRCATGGCTCCTTTTGGTCGTGCAATCTTTGTTCAACAATTTCCATGCGAATTTGTATCCGACAAGGGTCTTGAAATAGGTATAAACATTAGAAGCAAAAAGATAAAAGCAAAAGTTGAAAATTCAAATCAAGGTATTTTTTCAATTCTTCAGGTACAGCGACGCTAAACAATGCGGAGAACAAGTCAACTCATCAAGGCTGAAAATAAGTAAGTAAATAAATGAATTTATACAACTTTTCAGTAAAATCAGACGTTTTGATTGGTTGGCTTTCGTGTGTTATCAAAGTATAGATACACGGATTACGTCAAAACTAATTGTTTGTTGTATAAAACAGATAGATCTCATTTTTCCGTGCGTGTGTACTCTAATAGATACACAGATGACGTCAAAATGTAGTGAGAACAACAGTCACGCACTCGACTGCGTCTCGTGCGTACTTTTTTGTTCTCACTACATTTTGACGTCATCTGTGTATCTATTAGAGTACACACGCACGGAAAAATGAKATCTATTTGTTAAATAGATCACTCTCGCCTTGTGAAGCCCCGATGAAATGGGCACCCCAAAAGAACGGGTAAATCAATGAATTATCATCTCTTTTTTGTMACAATTATAGATAAACTAAAAACACAAATTGAACAACATCGGGTGAGGCAGTCAATGCAAGGTGAGTAATAATACTATTAATRCGGTAAGGAAATAGTTTTTTGGGAATTTTTTGATACATCTAGACGTGAAAAAATAAATAAAAATGAATRAACAGCGTCTTGTTGACATCTTGTGTGCCTAGATACTAAAGTATGTTTACAAGACCTTTCTAGGAAATAACTAATGTTTATTGTTCGAAGAAAAAAAAAAAAACAACTCGGAACACAAGAATCTTGGCAATAGGTTAAACAATACTATTGACTGATAGTCGTAAGCCAGTCACAATAAACATTTTAAAGTGATACGATTGGCATTTATATCTTCAGGGTTGATGTCCGGTGAAGACAGCGAACGCACAATAGACGCAGAGGAATCCAGACTTCGTCAAGCCATGGAAGACGAAAAGTTAAGGTATGGGAAATATTGCTTTAGTAGGTTACCTAGCAACGTAGACGCCATTGCGCAATCTAGTAACTGGACTTCACTTCCTTTTGAAAGGCGTCCTTAGAACGTTTTGTTACTGAATTAATTGTAAATTGGTGAATTAAGATGACAGCGCGATCAAAACGGAAGTTGCGAATGAAGAAGAACGGAAGGTTTTTCGTTTTTTATTGTTCTTCCTCCAACACTTTTGTCTTGGCTGATTTACATTCCTTCTTCGTAAATCTGATACATGTACAAAATCGGTGCATTGTCTTGGCAGTTGGGCCATTTCTTCAAAGAAAACTTAGAAATCATGCTTTTTTTTGTTACAAAATGACAACACTACACATTGCCTATTTACGGATCAGTACTGGCATKGTAATCCATTTCTTTAGCCCGCTATTTGCGTTAACATAATCAGTGATTGACCTGCTTGCAAAAAAAAAACTAGTTCTTCTACGTCTATCATATTATAAATCTTTGTTGTTCTGGTTTTTACCAGGTACAAGGAGAACTTCACGGCTCTACGCTCAATGAAAACAGAGATTGAACACTTGCAGCATTTATTGGAAAAATCCAAAGTTCAGATGCAGAAAGACTTTGAAATATGGTGGGCCGAACAGGCTGCGTTAACTGCGAACGACGTGAGTGACTTAGATCAAAACGCGACTGATCGTTTGAAGTAAAGCCACAGGCTGCTGAACTATTAAGCTCACCTATTCAGTAGTTTTTATTGGTGTGTCATGTTTTATCCAACAGAGACAGGTTGTACGAACTGTGACTAATAGCGCTATCCCGCACTGGATAAATCCTTATTCAGTGGATGAAATTGATACAAAATCTGTGGAGTGCATTAGTTATAAGCATCCTTCGTACAAACGGGTCCTGGGGCCGAGAGCATTGATAGATTTGATAGGCAAACCATTAAATAGCAGGGCTGGGTTGTTAAAAGCTCAAGTGAGCGCTAATCCTGGGTAAACTCTTAGAAATCCTACATGAAGTTAAAAAAAAAATACAAAAAAAAGAAAAACTCTTAAAAAACCTACGTGGAATTAGCCCTGGATTAGTGTGAATCGGGACTTTTTTTTGTATTTTTTTTTTAATTATCACAATATATATTCAATACATACACAAAATAGGTTACAAAATAATACAATACACACCACTAATATATATATGAAT